ATGAGATAAAAGAGATTGCCATTCAAGAAAATAGGTTTCTTTTAGATATATTAAGAAATTATATAAATTATGTAAAACCAAATGTTTTTTTGAATATTATTGTTACTTTTTCATAATAAACAACAGCCACATGAAGAAATGAAGTGCTACATGATGTCTCATTATTTTACATCTTGGGAGTGTTGGCTCATCTGGACTAACATACCAAAGTAAATGAAGAAATTTTCAAACACTATCACATCTAGTGCATCAAGTCTGACCACTGACAGATGCCAGGACAATGTAACACTGTTTCTGCACCACAGTCCATTATAAACCACATAATACATGAAGTTTACAAAGGCATTGGCTGGGGAGGATCAAGGCTCCTCTCACTTTGCTTAATTAGATAAGCACTCTGCAAATCTTACCAAAATGTCTTTTTAATTTTTTGAAATACAACAGAAACACAAAGTAGTACTGACAGCCATAATTTCAGCTTGTGGTAAAACGGTGCAATGTTTTAATGGGCATTTAGCATGTGAAAGTACAAATTACATATTTGTGTACACAGTGGGAAGCAATAAGTTTTTTTTAATGCAAATTCGGAAAGTATTTATTATTGGTCACTTGATAGGCACATGGTCTTGTTCTATATCACCATTAGCAATAAAAAGAAGTACATGTTTTCCACCAGTGCAGTGAGATGTGAAGTTTAGCTGCTGATCTGAGCTTCCCTGCTGTTACCATATTCATCAGCTGTTTGTCTCAGGAAGGTAACGACACATTTCTGTCCACGTAACAAAGCCATAACAGCGCTGGAGAAGAACAACATGAAATTACAATCCAACTACATTTTTTTTGAAAGTTTAGCTGGCTGATCTGAGCTCCGATGCTGGAATCTGCTGTTTTATTTCCAATTAGCAATCAGCTGACTCTCAGGAACTTAACATACAAAGCCAAAACAGAGCGCTGGAGAGAGAGAGTAACTACATGAAATTAATCCAACTAACATAACACCACAAGCCAAAGCACAGCGCTGGAGAATAAACCAATGTTTTTCAACCTGTCAGTAAAAGTTTAGCTGGTTGATGCTTCCATGCTCTAAGCTAACGTTATGGTTTTATTGCCAATTAACGTTACTGATCAGCTGATTGTCTCCCTAAGTAACCGGCAAAGCCAAACCACAGGCTGTAGAATAAGTAGGCAACATGAAATTGATCTATATTTCACACCACTGACAGGGGAAACATGTCACGGCTCTCTGTGATTATGGCCAGCTAATAGCTAAAGCTCTCAACCAACAGTTTTCATTTGCATCGCTAAAGTCTGACAAAGTTAATTACCTGTCCAGCAGAAAACAGATAACTTCGGCACTGCTTTGAAAACATCTGTCCCACATTAACGTTTTAGCCTTCCATCTGGGAAAATCCACAAAATCCGTGATTTCTGCCATCATATTGTCTGTCCCGACTCCGTCTGGCTCTCGGCTCTCGTGTTAAATAACGTGTGTGCTCCTTCAGTTGTCAGAAGACTACTCAGAGACTGTATATTACGTATAACTGTATAACGCCGTGATGACGATGTTTGTTCGTTGATGGCTACGGTTAAAACATGACGACAAAATACAGAAACCTCCATAAAAGGGGGTGCCCGCGGTTATGTAGATATAAGTGTCTCATTCCAAGGAAATAGAAACATAATGGTTCATTATGTAAGGTCTTTATACACCACTGAAAACATGGTTATGGATCTTATATTGCATTTCTGTCAATAGAGCCTCAGAAATATTAAACACTGGACCTTTAAAGGGATCAAAGCCAGAAATACTCCACCCTGTTCAGTGTCAAACACTTAGCCACCTGTAGTCTTAGGAGACTATATAGCTATAGTTATAGAATGTTTGCTGTGCTGGTTGTGGTCAGCTTGGACAGATGTACGGATGTATATTTCCTATATTTATTCTTCTTCACTTGTGGTAGTGTGCAGTAGCTCTTAGCGTATCATATTTAAACATATCTCATGTATTTAGCCATATTTAATCAAAACTGACTGTTTGCAACATACTGAGCATATATGAATGGACAGCGGAGACGAGGCTTATGCTGAAGGAGAGTGTTCCTATCTTCGTTTTGATGTGTTTTTCTGTCTGAAATACATTTTAACTGACACCAACTGAAACCAAGTTGGCCAAAGTTGCTGATATCCATCAACAGGGAAACTTTTACAGTTATCGTGCAAGACTACAAGAAGATAGATTTAGACATGGAAACAGTCAGTCAAGCTAAAAGATAGAAAGATGAATGCTGGCACACAGTCAGAGCCAAGCCCTGCCAGTGTTAAACCGTTAGAACAGGTGCTCTTCTGGCAACTTGTTGCCATGAGTTGTGGTTTGTCAACACAGGATGTTTAGTTCAAACAAATGAAAAGACTATATGAGTGCATGCATCCAATCCACCAGCAGAAGACACATAGATCTCAGTTCATAAGCCACATCCTGTCACTGAGTGACAGTGCTGGATGAGCCTTTACGTGCAAGCTTTTACATAAAGCTGCCATTTTTTGGAAGAGGCGTAAAACTGATAATTATCACCTAAATAAATGTGTTATGGCATTTGGAATTACATTTGTGTCACCTGATGAATGTGAGTGCAATATTCTCTCTCTTTTAGCTCTGTTTTGGTCTTCACCACCTGCTGAGACTATGATCACCAGCTAGTCAGCTCAGTTCAGGGCGTAATGTTGCCAAAGCAGTTTCCAAATCAAATGTTAACATTTGACAATGACATGAGAAGATTAATCCAATCAAAATTCAATTTAGCAGTTACACATTATAAAAACAATAATAACAAATACAGATAGAACATGAACTAAAAATAAAAGCGAACATGATGTAACCTGCCATGCAGCGAACGTTAAGTGCTACAGTTGCCAGTCACTCGCTGTTGTGACACAGGGACACATACTTGGCAGCAAGGTTTGCTGTATGTCCTTCTCCTAGGATTATTCCTAATTTATTGTTAACTAACCTAAAATCGGGTATTAATAGATGGAAGTTCTCAAAATATTGCTCTCTTATGTTTCTATATTCATTATATTTCAGGAGATTTCTGCACCGACTAAGAAGCTGCCATATCGCTGACAGTAGAGAGATATCCAGCCATTTCATAATCTCTGTTTAGGGCCAGAAAACGTTCTAGTTTGTGTTGTTTTTTGTCTCATCCTCCCAGTGTTCCAAATGAGTATTGTTGCTTTGAGTGATCATTTGGTTTACTCTAACCGGTGTTTGTAAAGCAGTGCTGGCTTGAGAAATGTGTGTGTGTGTCATGTTGCAGGATTTGTTTGTCTCAGGACTAGCTGGCATAAGGGACTCTTTTCCGGGTTCATCTCTTGGATTTTAAGAGCCTTGAACTGGTGCAGCAGAAAGTTAAGCGCTGTTTTTCTATTATCAGTGCAAACCGCCCTAATTCTGCCCTACATGCTGTTGTAGGAGACTTTCTTTGAATGTGTAGGCAGAATTTCTGCAGAATTCTGCATGTAGGGTCACAGTAGGATGCTTCTCCCATCTCTTGTAGATCGGATGACTGAGTGGACTTTTTGGGTTTTTGTTCCTGGAGGTTTAGCTGCTGCTGTAGTCCCTCTTTTGTGGGTGACGTCAGGCAAACTAGTTAGTCTCTAACTGTGTCTATCTGCAGTTTGCTGCTGTGCAAGTATTGTACAGTGGCTTTATCACAAAAAACAGCTTCCTGAGAACTAGAGTCTGTCAGCCAGAAAACCCAAACAATGAACTAAAAGAGGCTACAAAGTGTAAAACTGGGTGTACTGCTGAGTTCTCTCTCACATTAAATGTAGCTTGTAGCAGTAATTTGATACATTGTTAATGCAAATATTAATTGCAGTTAAGGTACTGTGGAAATTCATGGGCTCCACTGAAAGTGTTTTGGTGACTTTCTGACCACTATGGCCACAAAATCGAATGTGCAAAGGTGGCCGTTAAGCAATACAGTATGGTGTAACACTAAAAGGCACTTAAACCATTGTAGAGGAGAGGGAGAGTGTTACTTTCTCCACTCACATTTTCTCACACGGTCTTGGGATTTGAACCAGTACTTTTCCCAGTCGTAAACAAGCTTATATCTGAGGTAAAAGGCATGTTATTTAGTGGAATGGAGCAACATGTGAAGGAAATGCAGGGAAAATGGGTTTGTTTCTTTCTGTGTACTTGCATACAGGTGTGTACATGTGTGTATGTGTGTTAATCAGTGACACAATTCTTGCCATGGCACCGTCGTCACTTTAATTTTGTTATCACAGGCAGTCCAGCGAGGAGGGCACCTTTAAACCAGATTAACATTTGCTGGTGCGTTACATAAGCAAACACCTTGATCATGATTAAAATAAGAAGGAAAAGATTATCGCAGCTAGTCTGTCATTCAGACCTCTGAGACAGTTTTCCTGCTTTTCACCTTTTTTTAATGAAATACTTTCCCTCAATTCCTTTGTTCTCAATGTCATTTGCATCTTCAAAATTTTTCGTGCCAAATATTATTCATGGTGGCTGTTAGTCAGGTTGTGGCTTATTAAATCTGATTTTAGTTTTAATTAGCACCATAGGTGAGAGACTTTAACCAAAGTCTGGCCCAACAACATATCATACTGAAATATTCTATAAATTTTCAGAATTGGGTTTTAATGGCATCAATATTTACATGGAATAATATAATAATTATTATAACTATTATGTAATAATTTATATTAGATTTTAACTTGTTTTAAATTCAACTCGGGGCACCACTTTAAAAGAAGAGAAAACTAATTTACCATTTACCTGATGTAATGTATAAAAAAAATTACAAAAGTATTAATTTGGAATTTAATAACTATCATGAAACGAATAACTACCATCAATAGCAAACAGGTTGAAAGATTTGGAGTTGTGTTATATTCACTCTTATGCAACCTTAAAGAAACCATTTGTTATGACCTGGCTCAGAAAGCCACAACAAAAAGACACCACGGTAGACATTTAACAAAATATATTTATTTAACTCATAAGAATGCCGAATTAAGACTTGTTTCAAAAGTAAAGGTGATAAAGTATGGGGTATGAACATCAGTGGTTTCAGTCATGTCAAGACAGAATGATGGATGCATGGAAAATGTGTGAAAGGGTGTTGTAATGTGCAGGAAACAATAACTAGAACTAAAATAGCATGTCCAAAACCAAGAAAAAGGTGGAACCTGTGGAGGGAAACAGAGGGTCGTAAGTTAGCAGGGAGGTCTGTGACCTCAGCCCAGCAGCATCATCCCTAAGAATGAGAATAAGGTCTTACAAAAACTCTACAGGGCAATTAGCCCAGGTGCCCAGAGTTACTGCCATCAGTCTCAGATAGAGATTGGCCACGCCACACATTATCCCACAGTACCTACACACTACAAATGGTCCCACACTACCTACAGATCCACAACAAAACAAATGTAAATGCTCCGTATTTGTATAGCACCTTTCTAGTGTTTTCAACCACTCAAAGCACTTTTACACTACATCTGCATTCATACACTGGTGGAACAGCAGCAATTCGGGGTTCAGTATCTTGCCCAAGGACACTTCCACATGCACCCTGGAGGAGCCGGGGATTGGACCGCCAACCTTCTGATTAACAGACAACCCGCTCTACTGTCTGAGCCACGCAGTGCTAAACCAAAGTAGCACGCCAAATAAAGGCTCACTAGCCATAAAAGTTGTCCCAAGACGCACAACAAAAGGGAAACAAAGCTACAACAAAACTCATACTAACCAAATAAAGCATGAGCTTTAGTGCTTAACGTATATTACCAAAACTAGTAAGCCAACCCACCAAGACACAGACGCGAACCCGGATGGTTAACTTCCTCAGTGCCAATATTTTAGTTCCCCAACCAGACAAATGTCTATCATAAACCTAAAGATACTAAGACACACAAGGTTTAAGGAAATTTAGTAGTACTTGACTTAAGATTAAACAAAGCACTGATTTACACTTTCAGCCGTCCCTGGTGGTAACACCAGCACAGAAACAAGCCCTGCTACTGCAAGTTTAGTTTTCTTCAAGGCCCCCTGCTCAAACAAATATGACAAGGTATCATTTGTCATCCTTACCACTCACTAACACCGTAATGCTCTGTGTCTCTGACTAGTTGCTCTCTTACAGCCACTGATAAATGCCACCACAGACGCACCAAAAAACAAAGTCAAAGAAACCAAAACAATAACTTACCAATCAACCACTAATGTTGATGATATGCGTGGGCAAATCCCAACTCCCGACAGGAACAATTCCCCCAAACTGCCTACCTAAAACTTACTAACACTCACCCCTAGTCTTCATGCAGCTTGTGGTAGGTATATATGCACAAAAAACAGCAGATTTGCGGAGTAACCAATCGAGCGGATGTGCCCCCCGAGACAGCTTGTCCGAAAACAGCTGACACTAACCACGTCGCCACAACTCTATGAAAACAACAAACTGACGCAACCCAAAGGGGAAACGACACTTAGACCTAACAGGGAAATTCCTGTTCAAAGCGTATCAAAAACATTTATACTTACCCTCTGATCAGCACATAAAAAACATTTACCAGTCGGGCACAAAGGCTTCCTGAAAATCCAACACACGATGCATCTCCCAAGACAAAGTACAAAACCAGCACACAGCTGGACCAAATGAATAATCAGCAGTGCAGTGACACTACACACCCTGATGCTCCAAACGAGTTTTACTGCACTAACCTTTGTTAAAGAGAGAGAGCAGAAGTTGCACTGAAGTTTTATTAAGCAGAACTGTCCACCTTTACCTACCTGGTGCTGAGATGGATCCAATTGCAGTGAATGCTGCTGGACAGATCTGGTAAACACAAACGTATAGGGAGTGTGAGCTGAACAACTCAACTCCCACCTCCAGAAGAATTTCTTGCACAACTTAAGGTAGGTTGGAGACATTGGATCTGAGTGGGCTGTGGCCAAAGCCGATAACGTGGTTGTGTTGGCTTCATCACGATGTGACCTTCAGCATGCACTGGGGTGGTCTGCAGCATAGTGTGAAGTGGTTGAGATGAGGGTTTCGCACCTCCTGCCAAGCATCTGAGGCCATGGTCTCTGCTGCAAACATGTGGACTGCTCCCTACGTCACACGCTCACTCCCTAGATGATTTTTGTATGATTTTGTCATGAACACACAAGAGTCAGACCTAGCAATACTTGCTTTGATTTTACCACAGGGAAATCAATACTTTTCTTGTTTTGTTGATACTTGGGGGAGGCAACCATTGAAACCTACCACCCTCCACCTCCCTCAGCCATACACAAACCATACACATTGAAGACAGGTTGAGATATCCCTGCTCATTAAACCAATCGATAACCACTTGCTATAAACTGCAAGCACAAAAATGAACAGGCAGGGAAGTCTTAGTATATTCCTATGAGGCATCATGGATGAGTTCCCATGGACTCTTCCCCCAGCATATACACTAAATCTGATTCTGTTTCCCTGTTGAATGGATTAGACAATCCCATAAGAAAAGTATGTTCACTTTTGAGAGGTCTTCTTATAAAATCTCTGATTTCTCAGTTTCAAGTGCGGCTGGAACTTTGGATGTTCCCAGCTGTGATGCATATTAAATCAATAGCACTTCTTAGAAGTACTAGATAGTAATACTATAGTAGAAGAAGTATCAAACGCCAGCGGAATTCTTGCTGCCTTCATCCTTGATGGGCAGACATGCTAATTTTTGACCAGTTTTACTGAGGAAGATCAACAGATTTCATAATGATAATATTCTGCAGTATAATCCAATATGATGCTGAGGAGCTTGTGCCAGTGTATCTCTGGATTCTTCATGTTAAGACATGGATAAAACCCACATGAATTCAGGAAGAACATGCACCCTTCACACACAAGGCACTAGGAATTTAACTCACAATTCTCTCGCTAAACTGAACACCAAAGTTCAGGGCCTGGACTTGTTCCAGTTCTGAAAATTCATAAAAGCACAAATGAAAAAAGACACCATCGTCATAAATGAGTTGAGTTGCAAAAACATCTCTGTGACAGCATTCTGCAGGGCAGTAGTAAGGATTTTAAAAATACTGAGCTCATGTGTCCAAGGCCTTCCAAAGCATTTATTTTTCTTTTGTTCAGTCAGTTAACTGTTAAATTAGGGATTCTGCAATATGAGAGTTCATCACATATGCTTGAATGTAAATGTATCACGTGTGAAAGGTTTTGCACAAATATCCGTGAATCACATGTGTCCTGAGTATATTTGAAACCCCAGTGTTCTTTTATTAAGGCCTACCACCAGTTTCCAGAAGTGTGAAAAGTCACCGTAAAGATTTCTGGTACAGACTGATTCCTCATTTGCCAGTACACAAAGTAAATTTGTTTCATATTTACATACATATTTTCTTCATTTCACAGCCTCTCATTTTTTATGGCTGCTAATAGACTAAATCTGAGTTAGAACTAAGTTTACCACTGAATGTCATTACACGCCTACCCCATTGGATCTTCTGTCCATGATCATCAACAATACCCAGCACACACACTTACACACACAAACACAAACACCGCCTTACCACCTGCCTGCACCCCCACCCCCACTGTCTGGCATTCCCCTGTACACAGACCCCCTCCTCCTTCCCCTATTCCCTCCATATGCCTTAATGATGACCTGCTAAGGCCTCCTTTGGCTGAATAAAAAGGGATAATTGGCTATCATTGTCTTCCCCCGGCGCTACGGCGGTAGTGGCGGCAAAATGCTGGTGTCCAGATGCCCGGACCTCGACTCTCAGGCCCTTAATTAGAGTGAACCTGAGGACCAGGAAAAGGCCAATTAGAACTACCCAACACACACACACACCACCACCCACTTTTTCTTTTCTATCTTCGCTTATTTGCCGGCCTTTCAATCTGCATTCGCCCCATCTGTCTGAATGCAGGTGAAGAAGGCGGGGGTGGGGGCAGTCAGGGGCTTTCTTTCTCTTTTCTTAGGGCGTGCATATCTGTGTGCACATTAAACATACCCCCCTGAAAATATATATATATAGATACCTCAGAATCATGTATCCATTCTGGGAACCACTGATTCAGTGTAGATTAGGTGTATTGCACTGTATCAGTGGTTGCTGTCCCATATGCGTGTTTCTACTTTGCCAACAACAACTTAAAGTCTTTTTGCAATTGCCTTCTATTTATCAGCTGAACTGGGATTACATTTAAACAGGTGTATTAGCCCATTCTGCATCCACCTGTGTTCCTTCAAGTGCAGTGCAACCCAGTAAATGCATGCTGTCATGATCAGATTGCTAATTTGGGGTTTATGAAAGCTCAGGTCCATTAAGTATTACGTGGTCGCTTGGAGGAAATGCCTAAGGGAATAATCTGTGAATTAATTCAAGACCTCCATAAGCAATATTTACCCATGCAATTTAAAAAGCATAACAGTGTCCCATCAGGTATCAGTTCTATTCAAATGACCTGTACTCTCTTTCGTTTCTGAGATAGAATTGTGGTGAATTTACATTGAGAATTCATTCAAATGGATCTCAGATTAATCAGAGTTAATGCTGCTGCATGCTGTAAAAAAGGACCTTTTAGCATGGTAACCAGGCATCCTTACATGTATTTACATTATTCATGAGGGCGATTTGAATAATGCTGCCTCTATTACTACCTCTATGGTGTGTTAACATGTATTAAGAGTGATTTGATGAGATGTGGATTCATGGGGAATGGGGGTGTCGATTACCACTGGAGTTAATAGGGCTGAGTGAGCAAATGGTGCGAGCAAATTTCATGCAGTTCGAACTCATGTAACATTAATGTAATTCTTTAGGAACACGACTCTTAAATCCCTGTATGTTATAGCACCATGCACATCTGATTTAAAGCAGCTACTAATCAAATTTGAGGAGATTTCCAAGAGCCAGCCGTGCTGGCATGCGGACTTGTTTTGAAAAGTTTGAGCTTCTGAGATGCTAATTGGCTCCACAGGATAAACCACACAACAGGAACAAAGTGCCATGATACATGCATGTTAATATCTAGAGAATACAAGTTCTTGTGAGTAGCATTCCTGTTGGTGCCACATGCTACTTCCTGCTTCATTCTCACACTATGCAAGTCCCCTTGTTTTGTGGTAGGTAGAGTAAATATCTACCTAATAACTGTTTTGTTGCCTTCATCTGTGTTGTCTCAGACTGCCATTTCCACCAGAATCAATCAACACCTCTCTGAAGTGGCAGAAAGCCACACAATAAGGTCTGCTTTGTGAGTTTGATAACTTTGTCACCATCAGCAATCCGGTGAGTAAAAGAATCTGCAAAAAACTACTGGAGATTTTAACAATGTGAAGTGCCAGGCATAGCAGTAGATAATACATTAGGGTTTAGAGTGTAAAAAAGCTGTCTTCCTTTCAGGTCAGCTTTAATGCCTCCAGAGCTGGTTGGGTTCCCTCTGCTATAAACCATTTCAGGTGTTGCCAGCTTCAAGGGGCATGGCCTATTTTGTGTGTGTGTGTGTTACAACAAAATGTTCTAAATAAGCAACAATATATACTAAATAAATAACAATGTTTGAATTCAGAAGTCTGAACTTCATCGTTCCTTTTATTGTTTATTAAGGTGAGACACTGCAGGTGAATGTGTAAACTAAATTTACAAAGTAAAAATATTATGTTTAAATATGCAAATGTGGCTGTAAAGATATTGTACAATTATACACATTTTCATTAAAATCAATATTCACAGATCCAATATCCAATCAAATTCTTAACAACATCACTATATAACATCTCAGACACATCAAAACTGATAAATGAGGAACAGCATGTCTGAACAGACACAAATGCCTGCCATTTCTCGCCTTGAGTTTATACAGTTAGGTGAACCCAGGACACTTGATTGCCTACCATTTCACTATTCTGTGCATCTTAAAGAAATCTCAGATTATACTATACAAAAAAAGTTCTCTCCTTCCACAACTCTCATGGATACACACTTGGCAGAGATCTGGGCCGGTATTTATCAAGCTTCTCAAAGTGCAATTTTAGTCTTAATGCTGAGAATTCATGAAATTTACTCCTACTTTTAAATTTAAGAATAAAAGCAAGTTATCACGTTTCTTAATGCTAAGAATCACTCTTACTCTCAAGTGGTTAGGAGCTGCCAGTAGGGCTCGTGATGGCACTGTGGAGACAGAGACATGAGCAAATCTTTCAGGAGAGGAATATTGTTTCTGAATCATTTGGCGACGCACAGTTAATAAGACGCAGGCATAATCCTTGTCAGCGAGTTGGTGAGGGACGTCATCTCACCACTGACTTTACGCAGTAATACGTTTTCAGTTAAACTGAAGGTGGTGATGACGCTTCGTTTCTTTACGTCAGGACAAACGCAGCAATGCTGATGATTTTGGCTTGTCACAACCATCAATAAGCCGAATAGTCATGGAAACAATTATAGCACTTAGGCTACAGCTCCGCACGTTGTCACGTCACATGGAGTAGTAGGTGCAATTGATGGCGCTCATATAAAGAAAATCTTTTTTATCTCTCTTAATGTGTAGGTCTATATCATAATGTATTCTCTTGAATATTCTTTATTGTTAAACGTGTGTTGAATATAAACTCCTCTCAGGAATTTCACCATTCAATGTGAATTTATCTGAGAATATTCTTAAATAAGGAAATCTA